CGGCTCATGATTTCAGTATCTTTAAAAACCAACCAATCAGGAGCTCTCACTGGTTGGGCTTTAAGATCTTGAGGTATCGGCTTTTCGCTCGGAAAAAAAATCAACTAACGTAGACGGACGGACAACGTCATCTTTCGCTTCACGTTATCTTAGAAGAAAGCGACTATGCAAAATACTCTTCGGAGACAACTCTTAAAAAAATAAAAGCTTGGTCGGAAAATATGTCTGAATCTCTAAGTATGAGGAGTGGAGGACCAGACGGCAGAATGGCTGGTTGGCTGGTGGAGAGATGGAGACAACGGAGGGTGGATTTATCTGCTGATGGTGACGAGGAGCACACCACAAGACTTAGATTGCCTCCACGTAGTTGGCGGGGTAGAGCCCTAACTGCCCGTTGTCCAAGCGCCCTTTGCACCATCCCTGCTCGTCTTCCTCACCGAGTTTGGTTAGTTCATCACCTGGAGAGAAAGGTGGAAGGGAAGAGCTCGTTGCAGGTGCTGGAGATTCTCCTACCCCCTGTTTCTCCCCGGGATGGAGCTGCTGGGGTTTTCTAGGACTGATCCTGAGCATGTTGGTTTGTAGGGTAGAAAAGCAAAGGGTGACCCATGAGACCTCACGTGCCCTGTCCCACCATCACTCCAGTCTCACCCACGCTTGGGCTTAGCTTCTGCTTTTTCCTTTCTGACAGATCAACTCTTTGAAGGGCTGGGCTAACTCAGGAATTATTTGAGGGATTTCACACCAAAATGTGGGGGACCCCCAGCTCCAGCAGACGATGGAGCGTACCTGCTTTGAAGCTGAGCTCGTCCTGCTCCTGCCCGTCGTAGTCGTACAGAGCCCGCACCCGCACGCCCTTCCCCGCCGCCTCCTCGTCGAAGGGGTTGGTGCCGCCGTTGGCCTCGCTGGTGTTGAAGGAGTTGCTGCCCTCGTCATCGGACCACTCGGCGCTGTAGGTCTGCCCGCGGTCGTGGCTGCTCACGCTGGGTGAGGGAGGAGGGGGAGGAGGTGGCTGTCACTGAGGACACCCCGCACCCCCCAACACTGGCAATGCCCACACTGGCAATGCCTCTCCCACGGCACCTCCTCTCCGCGCTGCCCTCACCTCCCACGCTCGCCCGCCAGAGCCCCCGACTCGCTGGCGCTGCTGGCGTTGGTCAGGGTCACCCCCTCGCCCTTCTTCTGCTTCTCCTTCCGCGTTATCGTGTGTGTCAGGTCTGGGTTCCACTCCTGCAACCACAGAGCAACCGGCCCCTGAGCACTCACCCGGCCCCCAGGGCCACCAGTGCCCAGCCGGGGTGCCCAGCCAGGGTGCCCAGCCTCACCTCAAACTGGGGCCAGTTCATGGGCATCCCGGGGCCACTGGTGCTGCGGAACCACCGCAGATCCTCCTGCGCGTCCGAGAGGCGGATGGTCTGCTCCAGCTCCCGGTACACGTTGGCGTAGCTGCAGGGAGAGACGGGGTCAGTGGGCTGTGGGAGCTGGGGCTGTGTCACCTCCTCCAAGGCACTGGGAGGCACCAGGCTCCCACACAGCCTCCAGCCACTCTGGTACCTTTTGGTGACCATTGTGTTGGCCAGAAACCCCCTCCCTACCTGCTGCTCTCAGCCAGGTTCAGGTGCCTCTTGATGTCCAGGAGCATTTCCTTGAGGAAGTTGAGTCTCTTCTCCTCAAACTGCTGGCACTGCTCGAAGACCTGCTCCATGCTCTCGATGTACTGTGGGGTGCACTTGTTCAGCTCGTCCAGCACCTTCTCGTACTTCTCCTGGGTCTGAAAAGGTGTAGGAGGGACCTCATTTGTACCTTGAGCACCCCAGAGGTAATTTCTGGATGCTGAGAGATTTGTTTGGGGGTCACCAGGCTGGGGAGCCCAAGAGCCTCTGTGGGTAGAATCAGCCTTGCTGCTGGAGAGATTTTGCCCCGGTAAGAGGGATAAATCCCTGTCCTGCTCACACTCCCCTGGGGACTGCTTGCAAGTCCTCACCCTTCTACAGGAGCACAGGGATGGGAAAATGGGAATGGATGGTGGACAAAGGGATGTGGTGGCCATTTCCACTGATATCCTCTGCTTGATGCCTCGTGAGCCCAGTGCAGGGCAGTGGCTCGCACCTTTTGTACGTCTTGCTTGCACTTTTCCACTTTGTCCTGGAGCTTCTTCTGCTGCTCTGGGGTGTTGGACTGATCCGCCTTGCTGTTGGCTTCCCGGGTCATTGCCAGCTTCTCCTCCTTGCATGCCAGGTGATAGGCTTTCTTGGCTGTCTCCAGCTGTGGGGAGGAGAGGGAAGGGACATCAGAGAAGCGGTCGCAGCCCCCTGTCCATCCCTCTGCCTGCACAGAGGTGCCACCCATGTCTCCCAGCCTGAACCAGGCACACAGAGCCAGAGCTGGGAGACACAGGGATGCCCCAGGACACTCTGTGCTTCTCTCACCTCCTTGAGCTTCTTGGCCCAGGGCTTCTGGGCTTTCCGGAAGCCATCCTCAGCCTCCTTGGCTTCCTTGAAGCCCCCCATGATCTGCTTGTGGTAGGCGTCCTTCTGCCAGTTCTTGACCTTCTCGAAGTCGTCGTTCAGCAGGCTGTTCTTCACCTCCTGGTGCAGCTCACTCACCTTGTCTGCCTCCGTCATGATGGCTGCCCACGCCTTCTCCAGGCTGCCATACTGGGGACCTGGGGGCCGAGGGGACATCGGGGGTCACTCCACAGCCCTCACCCCTCCACCCCTGCCAGGGGAAGCTGGGATGGTGCACGGGCACCCAGGTGTCCTGGAGGGACCTTCTCCCTGGGGAAGCCATGGTACCTTTCTCGATGAGCTGCCTCCACCTCTTGGACCAGTCAGTGAGCTGCTGGGCGTAGGACTTCTCGATCTTGGCCCGCTCGTGCACACAGTTCATGAGGTCGTTGCAGAGCCGGTGTCCATCGTCGATCCGCTTCACCGTGCGCTTGTAGTTCCCCACCTGGGAAAGGGAGGGGACAGGCAGGTGTGGGAGCTGGGCTGGGCTGCCTGGCTCAGCCCCAGCTGGCCTGGCCTGGGGATGGAGGAAGCACCAGGCAATTCTGGGGGTGCAGGGAGGGTGCTTTGGTTTGGGGCTGCTCAAACCCAACTCCTTCCAGTCCCCTTTGTCACTTTGTGCCCGTTGGAGACAGCCGAGGTTGAGACCTCTGGCAGAGCAGGGATGCTCTCAGGCAGGGAGGGGAGGGCATCCCTGTCCCCCCCAGCCCCGGGGAACCTGGGGTGCAGCCACAGTGGTGTCAGGGCTCCATGGGAGGAGAGGATGGCCAGGACTCACCTCCCAAAAGCTGTCGGTTGTTTCCTCCGCGGCCGCTGCCGACTCATCGTAGGAACCCGACATGGCTCCTGGTGTTGTCTTGGGTGTCAGAGCGGGCACTGGGTGGCTCCTGGGCAAACACCAGCCTCATGCACTGAGGGGAGAGGAGAGGGGAGTCATGGGGATGAGCACGGGACCCCCATCCTTCCTGCCAGTTGCAAAGCCAGACAAACATCCAGCTGCAGGGGACGGGCCTGGGGACGGTGCCCACTCCAGCTCTGGACCCACAGACTCCTCCAGTGCCCACCACCCACTTGGTGCCATCCAAACCCCCTGGAGCTGGCTGTGCCCTCAGGGAATCACGGGGAGCAGCATGGTGGGTGCTCACCGGCCAGGGCCTGGCTCAGCACCACGTCCCCGGGAGCCGCTGGGCGAGGGCCTGTGGCAGGGCCAGGGGGATGTGCCACCCAAGAAATTCTCGTCCTGATATTCCACCCTAATCCATCCTGATCTTCAGAAAAACGGCATCCCCCGAGCATCACGTGGCCTGGCTGCACAGCTTAACCCTTTGCCGCTCTGCCAAGAGCTAGGAGGGGGCTGGGGGTTAGGGGTGGCATCGCATGGGGTGGAGGGGACACCGTGGTGGCCATGAGCATCCTCATCATCCCCATCCTGACCCAGACTCGGACAGTGCTCCCACAGGAAAGCACCGAGTCTGTCCTGCATGGCATCTGCCACTGGAATGGGAACAAAGTGGCCACGAACAGCCCAAATTTCCCTCTGCCCTGTCCCCAAAAGGCCTGTGGGAGGAGGATGTGTCCGAGATCCCCACACACCATCCCTTCCCTGGGGCAGCGGAGTGGGCAGAGGGGGGCCCGGTTGCCTGTGCCCTACCCCACACCAGCCAGAGGGCGATGGGGTGGGAGGACAGTGCTGGGGGGCAGGTGCCTTGGGGAGCAGTGGTGGGTGTCCACACTGTCCAGCTGTGCACACAGCTGGCCCCAAGGCACCCTCGGGCTGGGACAGGGCACGGACCCAGCAGGATGGGGGCCTGAAACAGTTACTGGAGCGCAGCACAGGGCTCGCTGTGCTGGAACTAACAGGGCCTGGCAGGGATTTAGTGATATAACCAGGGAGGCACCAATCCCCGCCGCCCTCCCCAGACAGTTAAAAATAAACGCGTGACTGTCCCCGCTCAGCCGCCGAGATGCAGATGGATGGGGGGCCGCAGCGTCCCCCCACAGCCGGCAGCTCACGGCACCCACACCTGCCTGGCACCCACGGCACTGCCACCATGCCTGCCTGGCACCTATGGCACTGCCACTGCTCCTGCCTGGCACCCACAGAACTGCCACCGCTCCTGCCTGGCACACATGGCACTGCCACTGCTCCTGCCTGGCACCCACAGAACCGCCACCGCTCCTGCCTGGCACCCACAGAACCGCCACCGCTCCTGCCTGGCACCCATGGCACCGTCACTGCCCTCCCCACCCAAACCCCCACGGGCTGCCCCAGTGCACCTGCAGCGGTGGCAGATTCCCGGTGGCACAGGGACCCCGCAGGGTGCTGTGTGTGCCGTCCCCCCCGCAGGCCGTGGGCACGGTGCAGTGCCCAGCACTGAGGCTCTGCCTGTGCTCCTGGTCTCTGGCTCTGGGTTTTGCTGCAGAGGCTGTGCTGGCACAGCAAGGGCACACTCAGCACGACAGACCCAGTTGCCCGGGGCCGGGATGGGACCCCCGGGCGGGAGCACCCCCAAGGCTGGGGTTACCCCGGGACCCAGGGGCACACGTGTGGCCCCCGCTGCCCCCTGGCTGCTGATGCCATGGGGCACTGCGGACGTGGCTGCTGCAGCTCCCCCTCCGAGCCACTACCTGGTCCGAGCCGCAGCCAGGGGGTTATTTTTGGCTCTGCATCACTTCCCAGCTAACGCTGCCTCCTCGTTGCCACTCTCCCCCACGCGCGACCATCCTCGTGCACCCACGCACGTGCCTGTGCCCCCACCATGCTGGGCCCATGAACCACGCGCCAGCCCCCTGCCAGCCCCCCGCCAGCCCCCTGGCCCTGCTGGCGCAGCCCATCACCTCACATCAGGGCGGCTGGCGGTGATGCCTGGCGCCTGCAGAGCCGGCGGCTGAGCCGTGGCATGGAGAGCTGCCAGCCCCAGCCACGCGCTGCCGCCTGGGTACCCTCGGCCCGGGGGCTCCGCTGCAGCCCCGCGTTTCCACAGAGCTGCTGGGGAGAAGCCACAGAGCGTTTGGCATCGAGTGACAGCAGAGTTTGTCCCGGCTCCTGCCCCGGGTGCCCTTGGGCTTCTCCTGCAGCAGCCACCTCCCTGCTCGTCCCTCCTGTCAGCCTGCTCAGCACTGAGCACTGGCACAACTCATCTCACCTACCAGGCAGCTCCTGCTGCCCCAGAGCTGCAGGGGGGTCTCTGCCCTCCGTGGGGGCTGGGACGTGGCCACTGACCCTGTGCAGGCAGGACGCTGCTGCAATGCAGAGGCTGGTGCTGCCGACACTGCAGGCAGGGCATGGGCAGCTGCCCGTGCCCCTGTGGCCACAGCCCTGGCTGGTAAAGCCCTGTCCCCAGGCAGGTGGGACAGTCTGGTCCTGCTGTCTCCTGTCCCCAGGTTGCTCCCTCCAGGTGTGGGAGGCATCCTGCCTTCGGGCATGTTTGCTGAGCCCAGTGGGGCAGGAGGGGCTGCAGAGCCTCCTCTGCTGCAAAGAGCCCCTGGCCAAGGCAGGATGGTGGCAGGTGCCCTGCAAGGAGGGGAGCAGAGCACAGAGTGAGACGGTGTCCCCACCCTGTTCCCATCCTGTCCCCAGGCAGCAGGTTCACACCAGGTGTGAGCCCGGTTGCTGGGAGGGCAGTGAGTGAGTGACTGTTGCTGAGAGCATCCAGGGCAGGAGGCAGCCAGGCTGGGAAGCCAGGCTGGGAGCTGCGCTGGTCTGTGGGAATCCGAGGGCTGGGCTTTGGGCTTTTGGCTGAAGGAAAGGTCATTTGCTCTCTTGTCTTGGCATGGAGCTGCTTGAGGGTCTGTTGGGGGCTACAGCACCAAATGCCACTGCGAGGCACCACTTCTATGGCCACATGAAACCACTCGTGGCAAAGACAACAGCACTAGAAACAGCCAAGGGAGCCCAGGGGAGCCTGGCAGCAGCAGCTCCCACGGCGCTCCAGGGCTGCCCCGCTGCTGCCCCGGCCCTGCAGCCCCCACGGCCCCGGAGCCCACGCGCTGCTCCCGCCACGGCCACGCAGGGGTGAGGTGCCCCCGGCACGGTGGCAGGTCCTCGGGCAGAGCTGGTGACGCCGATGTGCGTCGCACGAGGCTTTGCAGCTGCAGGAGCTGTGCCTGGTTTGCTGCTCAGCTCTGGCCCGGGTGGCTGCGGGATTCCCACCGGCACGGGACTGGTCTGTGTATCCCGCAGGGCTGTGGCAGGGAAATGCTCCCAGGGGTGCTGAGGGTCGGAGCTCAGGATGAGGGGCTGCTGAGGGGTTTGGCCGTAGCTGAACCGTGTCCCCCTCTGGAGCCGATGTGGACCCTGAGAGGAAATGGTTAACCAGTGGGTGCTGCTGATTCACGCTGGCAGCTCCACACCAGCAGAGCCCAGGGCTCAGGGCTGAGCAGCCTGAACCCCCGTCCTGCTCCTTCATTATCAAACTGAGCCCAAACTGAGGTGAGCCTGAGTCCTTCTGGGCACTGTGTCCATGGCAGCAGGCTCACGTCAGGGTTTCTCCTGCATCCCCCAGCAAAACCGCTCTGACCGGAGCCCTGGGGCAAAGAGCCAAATCCTGTCCAGAGGGAAGGGACAGGTATTCCCAGTACTGCGGGTGCATCCCCATGGAACTTCAGCCAGAGCAGTGCCATGGGGCTGGCTGGGACCTGGTGCTTGAGTAGTGCATGAGGTGGCTGCAAGGGCAGCAGGGCCCTGGAGGGGGCACAGAGGTAACGGTGGGAAACTTCTGTGAGCCACTTTTGCAATGAATGTGCCATAGGCAGAATGTGCCTGCGGTAGCCTCCTGGTTTGCACTGGGGGATCTGGGGACCTGCTGGACACTGCTGGGTCAGGGCTTGTGGGCTCCCCAAAAGCAGAGCATTTGCCAAGGAGGTTCAGTGATCCAGAGCAGTACCAGGAGCCACGTGTCCCATGCACAGAAGGGAGGCTGCCGGGGCCGGGTGCTGCCAGGCTGCAGTAGCCAGGGACACTCCAAGCTGTGGCAGTGATCGGCTTCACAGCTCGTGTGGGCTCTGCAGAGACCTTCCCCTCTCTCTGCGCTCCACAAAGCCGCCCCGCTCAGGGCACACATCAGTCTTGCAGGGATTTTAGGAGCCTTGTGCAATGATTTCTGGAAGCACGCTTGGCATTTGCAGATAACGCAAGTGTCTCTCCAGGGGAGCCTGTGGGCTCAGGGACAGGATGTGCCGGGAATTTGGATGGGGAATGTGGATGGGCATCCCGGGAGGGGCAACAGCAGGACTGCCAACCCCCTGCATGTGCTCAGACCTGGGGAAGGGAGATGAGGCTCAGCCTCAGCTCGGGTGCTCCACTGGCCTCCCAGCTCTGCAGCCCATCTCATCCTCCTGCCTCGGCTCGCCGAGGTAAACAAGGCTGCTCGGACACCGAGCAGGGATTTGTGCAGTCCCAAGAGCCGGGTCTAGGCAGAAATCCAAAGATGAGGTTTGCAATTAAACCCAGAAGCGGCAAACAAGGGTGGTGGAGGATACAGCGGTGCCATCCCCCTGCTCCTGTATGAGGGAGGGGGGAGTGGAGCGTCACGTGCGGGCATGGGGGTCCCGTCCCCGGAGCCTTGGTGGGATGGATCTGGGGCTGGTGGTGACAGAAGGCAAATGGGGTTGCCGGGAGCAGGAAAGGTGGAGGGACAGCAGGAATTCAGCTGTCTGTGGTGGGGAAGGAGACTTGGAGCCAGAGGGGACAGGGAAAGCAGGAGGGGCAACAAGGGGGAAGCTGGGGTGACAATGCTGGAAGGAGGGGGTTCGGGGATGGGGTTCGGGGGGCAGTGATGGCAGGGACAGCACAAGTCCCCCCCCTTATTTGCAGCTGGGGAAACTGAGGCACAAGCCCAGGAGTGCAGCAGCATTGCAGAAGGGGTGTCCCTTACCCCAGCACCCCACCGGGCACACGGAGGGGTGAAGGTCACGTCCCCCCCCAACCTCCCCGGCTTGCAGAAGGGATCAGGGGACACTGTGTCCTGCCGGGGGGTGCAAACCCACGCCATACTGCCTGGTCCATGCCCAGCACCCCCTCGCTCTCCCCTCATCCCTGCAAGGGACGTGGGCAGCCTGCAGCGCATCCCCACAAGGGAGCCGGGCACCCCGCACCCCATCCCCGCAAAGGACCGGGCATCCCGCAGCTCATCCCCGCCAGGACCGGGCATCCCGCACCCGCCGCCGGAGGGGACCCGGCTGCCCCCGCGGGGGCCGCGCTCACCTGGCGGGGCCGGGGGGCCGGGGGGGCCCGGGGGGCCCGGGGGGGCCCGGGGGGCCGGGGGGCCCGAGGCCGGGGCCGGGGCTCCGCTCGCTCCGCTCCGCTCGCTCCGCTCCCGCCGGGCAGCGGCGGCGCGCACGGCCGCGGGCACGCGCCTGCCCGAGCCGCCCGTTGCCATGGCAACCGGGATGGAGCCGCTGCTGCGAAAACCATCCGGGGGGGTGGATGGGGGACGGACCCCCCCGTCCCCGGGCCCGCGCCCACCCCGAGGTGCCGCACTGCCGCCAGCCCCCCAGGGACCCGCCGGCCCCAGACCCTCGCCCAGGGCGCCCCCGGGGCCGCCCCACTGCGGGGGCTGCGGCCCGGGGCACGGCCCGGGGGGCGGGTGTCACAGCCGCGGGAGGGGGGGCTCCGTTACGGCCAAACCGGGCTCCATCCCCCCGATCGCGCTGCGGGGAGGCTCTTTGGGGACCCCGCCGGGGTCCTGGTCCTGCTGCCCCGGGGGTCCTTGTCCCTCCTGCACGGGAGGGCACAAAGCCATGTGCCCCCTCCACTGCTACCCTGCTGCTATGTCACCCCCGGCCCGGGAAGGGGCTGCAGGAGGGTTTTGGGGCTGAGCCACAGCTTTTGCAGGAACAAACACCCCAAAACGCCTTCGGAGAGGCAGCCGGTGCCGCCTCCCTGCCAAATGTGCCAGCTGGGAACAGGCTGGCGGGAGAAGCAGGAACAGTCTTTCCTCCCCCCGGCAGGGCTGGTGAAGGGGGTGAGGGGGCTGCACCCCCAAGGCTCCTTGGAGAGGAGCAGGGCAGCTCCCCTTCACTGCCATCTGTCCATCCGCCTCCTCCCACGTCCCAGGGCTCGTGCCCGGGGTCACCCGGGCTTATCACAGGATGGGGGCCCCAGGGGGCAGAGGGGGCTGGAGGCTGTTGGGGAGCAGGGAGGAGGTGGGTGGGGGTGGCAACATGCTCCCCCCGCACTGCGCTCGCGGGGGATGTCAGGGAAATTAAAAGCCAGCAGGAGACGAGAGCGTCCAGGCAGTAACCGAAGCCGCCACAGAAGCTGCAGTAATGAGGCTGCGGGGCCGCTGCCGCCGGGATCGGGTTGCCCAGAGAATGCGACCCGGTCCCGGGGGGCTCTGCCGGCCCCCGACGCCGGCTCAGCTTTCCCTTAACAAGCGCCTTCAGCTGCCTAATGAAGCTCGGTGGGTCTCTCCGGCCCACCTGCCTTCCGGCTCCTTCCAGCCCCGTGCCATCCGAGCGTGTCTGCCCACCCCAGGGCCAGACAGAACCGCCCCCAGAATGTCTCCTGCCCAGCTGCAGCAGGGCAGTGGCGTGTGAGACCCCGGGGGTCTAATGCCCCCAGTCCCGAGTGGGAGGGATGGTGGTTCCTGCAGGAGCTGGGGGATCTTTGCCTGTTGGTGTTCCAGGGCCAGGAACCAGAGGGTGCTGAACATCATCCCTGCCAGGAACCAGAGGGTGCTGAACATCATCCCTGCCAGGAACCAGAGGGTGCTGAACATCATCCCTGCCAGGAACCAGAGGGTGCTGAACATCATCCCTGCCTGCAGAAAGTTGGCAGTTCCCAGCACAGGGTCACTGCAGGTGCTGCCGGGCTGTCCCAGCCACCTTCTGCCCTCACAGCATCCCTGCTCCAGAGGGGGAAATGGCCTTGGCATTAAGCATTAGGTGACAAACACTCCAGGAGGGTGACAGAGGGGACCTCAGTGACTTGGGGGTTCCCCAGTGCAAAGAGCCATTGCCACCAGCTCCATGGTCTCTGCAGGTAGGACAGACTCACTCCAGTGCAGGGAGCAGGTGGGAGCTCAGCCTCCCTGACACGTCCAGCTGGTTCCTTCACCAAAAACTTGGACACCACAAACTTTGCCCTGGCTCTGCCATCCCACTGCTTACTGTTTCCTGTGGTAAGTCATTTCCTCTCCTGTAAATGAGTTGCCTTGTGGGAAGCAGTGGACAGTGTTGACAGGAAATAAGTCCTGATTTATTGGGCCACTTGCCTCTCTGGAATTACAGCTCTGGGAGTGGAGCAGATGAGCCCACACTGTGTTCCTGCTCCTGCAGGAGCCAGAGCGGGCAAGAATGAAGAGCTGCCACCAGCAATCAGCTGCCTGCCCATCACCCTGCCAGGAGAGCCAGCCTGCACACGGATGGAGGCCGTTCCAAGCACAGCTGGCTACCCTTTGCCTCCCCAGCAAGGAAAGGAAAATGTGTTTTCTAAATCCTGGCAGAGCCCCTGGTTATCGGGGCTCAGCTGGTGCTGGGAGCAATGGGAGAGCTCCCAGCCCATGGGTGCTCCAGGGAAGGCAGGGAGAGGGCCTGGCATCCTGGTCATCCCGAGCCCTTCCCTGGGCTCCGCTGCCCCTTCCCACCCGATGCCGGGGCAGAGCAGAGCAGGAGCTGTGGCTGGATGGGGCCAGAGCCCCCACGCTCGCCCCATGCCCAGGCTGTGTCCCCACTGCAGATGTGCCGCCGGCCCCAGGAGCCCTCCGGGTGCTGGGAGAATGCGAGTGCTACTTTCCATCTCTAATTAGCCGCGGAGGATAATTGCCGGCTCTGTGGCCGTTACAGAGACAGGCAGCTATTGTGGAGGGCCCCGCGTGGGGCAGGTGCTCCCAGAAACCCAGATCTCACCAAAACAATCCCCCTCTTGTGTGCCTGGGACCGGCCGGGGCACCCTCCGAGCCCTTCCGGGGAAGGGGCCGGAGCCGGAACATAAAGGCTCCATTTTCCCTGGGAAGCAGCTGCCTGAGCAGCCCATCCATATCGCCCACGGGCACGGTGGTGCCGGGGCCCACTGCCCCCTGCCCCCATCTGTGCCACACCGGGGGCAGCCGGCCACTAGCCCGGCCACCTGGGGAAGCTGCCGGCTGGATGTGGCCTTTCCTTCTCCAGGATCACCCACAGGAGCTCGGCAGGTCCAGGGTTTGCCTTTGAGGTGTTGCACAAACGCCGGCCAGGTTGGCACCTCCGGGACAAAGTCTGTCCCGGGGCAGAGCCACGCCGGGGTTGTGCCGGAAGAGCCCAGCTCCATCCCTGCTCCAACCCAGCTCCATCTCGGCTCCATCCCGCCCTGGCAGGGCCGTGTCCCAGCACAGCCAGGGCACCAGCAGGTCTGGGGACACGGCATTCCCAGCGAGCAGGGCCCACCTGGGCTGAGCCCCATCGATGCTGATGCTGTGCTCGTGTCCCTTCCCTCCTCGCCCTGCCCTGTCACGTCACCGCTGGGCCCTGCCAGCACCCGGGTTCCCTCCCTCAACCCTGCCACAGGGAAAGCCAGCTCCCATCCTGCCAGAGTCCCTCTGGGGCCACACACCCTGGGACAGGAGGGACAGGATGGAGAGGAGGGTCCAGCACTGTCAGGGGGTCACGGGTCCATGCGGGGCAGCACCTCCAGCCCCAGCCGAGCCAGTGCCTGGTGAACTCCCTCGTTTTCTCTGCACTCCTGCCAAGGGAACATAAACCCTCAGGAGGTGGAAAGACCCTCAGCTGCAGTTTGGGGTCGGATGTGATGGGACCTGCAGTGCCCAGTCTCTGCTGGCCCAGCTGAGCTGCGGCCACGGCCTCGACCTGGACCTGGCTTAGGGCTGGGGTTTGCTCGGGAAGGGCAGCGCGGGGGCCGAGGGAGCGGCCGGAGAGGCTGCCGGGAGAGCCCTAATCCGGTTAGCAAAGCACTGGCTTTGCCATTCCCAAGGCAGGCGCAGGAGACGTGAGGAGGAGATGAGGCAGGGGCAGGGGCAGGGGCAGGGCAGGGCAGGGCAGGGCAGGGGCAGCTCTGGCTCCGCGGGACGAGGCGAAGGTTGCTGCAATTGTCGCAGCATCCTGGGGGTCACCGTGCGGGAGCGTCCCCCCAGCTCCGTCCCTGCTCCCCCCGAGGGGGTGCAATGGCAGCAAAGCCCCGGGATGGCACCAGGCGGCTCCAGGGACGCAGCGCATCCCCCGGCCCCTCCCGCCCCCTCGGCACGAGTTGGGAATCACTTAAAATGGGACGGGAGCGGGTTTATTTCCCCGCGCGGGGACGGACCCGGATCAAAGCAGCGGGGTGACAGCCCTGTCACCGCGCCCCGAGCCCCGGCATCCCCCCCGTCCCCCGGTGCCCCCCGGGACACCCCCGGCACCCCCGAGCCCCCCGTCCCCCGCGGTACCTCGGGGCCGCGGCGGAGCCCGTCCCGGGGCCGGCGCTGCGCATCGCGGGCAGGTCGCGGCAGATGGGGCGGAGGGAGGGGGTAAAGATCAGCTCGGAGATTAGGGCGGCATTTTTAGCCGGCCAATCCCCGGCCCCGCGAGGTGACAGCGGCACCGCCGGCAGACGGCGATCACCGGGGGCGGCGGGGTCCCTGCCCCTCCCTCCCGGGGCTCGGGGCTGCCGTGTGCGGGCTGTCGGGGGGCGCAGCGGGAACCCCGGTCCTGCCGCCGGGGGGTTCAAACCCCGCACAGGGGGGTTTGAACAAACAAACGGCCGACACGGGGCCGGTGCCCCCGAGCCCGGGACCCCCGGACCGAGAACCGTGGGATGCGGGGGGCTCCCAGCCCCCGGCCCGGTGCTTTGGGGTCCCCCGGAGCCCCTTTGCCCGGGTCGGACATTTTGCCCCCCAGGACCCCGGCAGGGCTTTGCAGCCCCAAAGGGCACCGTGGGGAGCGGTGACACCTCTGAGACCCGGGGGTGTCACGGCTGGGGGTGAAACGGGGGGGTGACACGGCTGGGGGTGACACGGGTGGAGGTGACACGGGGGAGAGACACAGCTGGGGATGACATGGGGGGTGACACGGGGGGTGTCACGAGTGGGAGGGGTCGTCCGCTGACCCCATCAGGCACTGTAGCGGACACCCCGCTCCCCGGCCGGGGGGCCTTCAGGCAGCGCCGCTGCCACCCGCGCGCCGCTGCGGGGTCCTTCCGGCGGCGGAAGCGGCGGTGCGGCGCATGCGCAGTCCTTTCCGGCCGGGCCCCGCCGCCGCCGCCACGGTGAGGCTGCGCTCGGGCCCGGCCGCATCATCGGCGCCGCATCGCCGCCATCCCGGGCCCACCGCGCCCCGCGGGGCGCCGCTGCCACTGTGGGGGCCGCGCCCGGCTGTGCGGGGTGGGAGGGAGCGAGCGCGGGGCGGTTCCGGGGGTGCGGGGGGGGGTCCGCTCCCGGTGCCGGCGCCTCCCGTACTCTGGCAGTGCCCGCGTCCCTCCGGGGCTCCCGCGGGCCCCGGGGTCACCCGACCCTGTGTCCTGTTCTTTTTGCAGATGTTGATGCCCAAGAAGAACCGGATCGCCATTTACGAGCTGCTGTTCAAGGAGGGGGTGATGGTGGCCAAGAAGGACGTGCACATGCCCAAGCACCCCGAGCTCGTGGACAAGAACGTGCCCAACCTGCACGTCATGAAAGCCATGCAGGTGAGAGGGCTGGGGAGGCAGATGTGGGGTCTGGGGGCAGGTGTGGGGCCTGGGGCCAGGTGTGGAGTCTGGAGGCAGGTGTGGGGCCTGGGGCCAGGTGTGGGGTCTGGAGGCAGGTGTGGGGTCTGGGGCCAGGTGTGGGGTTGGAGGGGGGCAGATGTGGGGTCTGGGGGGGCAGGTAGGGGAATCTGGGGGTATAGGGAAGGGTTGGTCCCTGTGCTTCCCCCTGAATGGGGCTGGTGGTGCAGTTCTGTGCCCGTGAGCTGGTCCCTGTTCCCACATCCCCCTTCCCCACATCCCTGTGCAGCTCCAGTGCCCATGAAACACCCGCTGGGGGCACTGGTGGGGGAGCTGGATGGGGCTCAGCCCTGGCTGGGAGTGACTGGGAGCTGTCCCCGCAGTCCCTCAAGTCCCGGGGGTACGTGAAGGAGCAGTTTGCCTGGAGACACTTCTACTGGTACCTGACCAACGAGGGCATCCAGTACCTGCGGGATTACCTGCACCTGCCCCCCGAGATCGTCCCGGCCACGCTGCGCCGCAGCCGCCCCGAGACCGGCCGGCCCCGGCCCAAGGGTGAGCGGGGGCACAGGGGGCTCCCTCCATGGACATGTCACACACCCACCGCTCCACGGGGCCCTGACTGGACACGGGGGTCGGACTGGGTGACCTCAAGAGGCCCCTTCCAGCCCCAGCCACGCTGTGGTTCTGTGTGTTGGGCCTGTGTCTCTGGGTTTCCCTGGGTGGGTTTCACAGCCCTGAGGGCAGGAGGTGCTGGTGGTGCAGCCACTCATGTGAGGGCCAGGCACTGCCCTGGAGCCAGGACTGCGGGTGGGGGGTGCTGAGAGCTCCCTTCCAGCTCCTGCAGCTCTTGTCTCAGCCCAGCAAAACAGGAGCATCACCTGCCTCAAAGGAAGGGATTGCACTGATGCTGGGAAGGTGATGGCTCCTTTGATCTCAAGCTGCTCTGGATGTTCCCAGGTTTGTTCCTTAGGTGCTGTATTTATCCAGGGAGCTGAAGGAGCTGCAGCCCTGCTGGAGCCCTCGCTCAGCCCCACCAGGCAGGGATTCCTGGGAGAGCTGTGCCTGTGCTCTGCTTCCCTGTGGATCAGCTGCCTGGGGCTGCAGCAGCCTGGGAGCCACAGAGCTGTGTGTGGATGGGGGTGCAGGATGAAGCTCAGGGCTCTGGCCTGAGCTCTTGGGGAGTTGGAGCCTTCTTTGGTTTGCTCCAGCAAGGCCTGGAGCAAATGCTGGAATAAGGGGCTGGAGCAGGTTCCAGAGAACTGGGGGCTGATCTTTGGGATTTGTGTCTCTGTCTTAGGTGTCACTGAACGTTTGGGTGTTAAGGATGGACAGAAATGAAGTTTAAAATGATCTATCCATGGGTGGGGTATGTGCTGTAGGGGTTTGATCTGGCAGGAAGGGAGGACAGGGAAACATCTGCAGGAGAAATTCATCCTCAGCAGGGAGTGTTCCTCTTTGTAATGAAAGAGTTATAAGAACTGGCTCTGCCTGTGGCTGTGCAGGAGGACACTGAGGAGGTACAGCTGCCCCTGCGTGGGTCCTGCCCGGCCCCTGAGAGCAGCACAGGGGCTGGTGGGTCCCACACAGCTGGTCCTCTGTGTGGTATTAACCTGAGGTTCCAGAGCTAACCTGCTCTTGGTGTTCTGAACCTGTTCCATCGGGGGGATTTGAGTACTGACAGTGTGGCTGTTTCAGAGTGATGTGCACTTTGTCACTGTGTGCAGGCTTGCTGGACATGGCAGATTACCAGAATTTGTGGGGCTTTTATCATCTATAATGTTTGGCTCTTGTTTGACAGCCAGAAGACTGTTGAGATGATGCTGTAAAGCCATTTCTCACATAATATTTAACTTGTACCCAATCACAAGCTGGGGCGCTTTTTCCCCCCTCAAAGTGAAGTTTTCCATATTAAATCCCTGTTTTCCTTAGTTTTATCCTCGCTGAGCTGCTCCAGGGGTGGCACTGCTGGCAGATCCAAGGCTGGTCTGCACCCTGGGGCGCAGGTGCCCCCCAAAGGGGCTGTTTGAGGCCTGACTGGGCAGTGATGGGGGGGTGTTGTTGTTGCAGGTCTGGAGGGCGAGCGGCCGGCGCGGCTGACGCGGGGCGAGGCTGACCGGGACACGTACCGGCGCAGCGCCGTGCCACGTGAGTGCCCCCTCATCCTGCACTGGGTGCAGCCCCGGCTCCACCCCGTGTGGTCCCAGGCAGGAGCACTGCCCTGGGCAGGGCGTTCTGTGGGCTCTGACTGCTCCTCTCTTTGCAGCTGGTGCTGACAAGAAGGCTGAGGCTGGTGCTGGAGCAGCCACCGAATTCCAGTTCGTGAGTGTTTTTGCATTTGGGATTTGCTTCCTTTGTTGAGGCTTTGATGGGAGGAGCTGGAAGGTCCTACGGGTGTGCTCCTCACTGCGGGGCTCTGAGGGTGTAAGAGAGGCTGGAACCCTTCACACCCAGCTCTCTCTCTGTGAGTAGAGGACGTGGTGGCCTCGATGCTGGGACAGAGGCCAGCAGCAGGTCTGAGAGCAAGCTGAGCTCTCTGGAGATCCATGACTACTGAAATAAAAGAGTTATAGAACTGGCTGGGGTGGGTTGGTATTG